GTTTAGCTCATACTTCCCTATTTAAAATTCACACAGAGATAATATTTGCTGGTAGATTTCCTGATACTTTTTGTATATCTAACTGATGCCAATGTCCTCATATCTGCAGCTAATTTATTCCAAGAGAAGCCTCCTACAGGAAAAATAAAGCTAACTGTCCATTCCCCAAAACCACTGGCTTATAAACCACCAAAAAATAAATAGGAAGTGAAAACCTTTATTTCCACACAAAGCATGTTAGCTTCCTACGCAGAAAAAATGACCACGCATGACAGAACAGATGAACATTACAATTAAACAAAAACCCAAAAGTACCATGGGGAACAGTTGAAGCAAGTTGCACAAATCAAGTTATTTCTGCCAAAAATCTGGTTTGTTACAGAAAGCAAACAAAGGCTGAAAGGGAAGTTTTGGTCATTAAAAATGAACAGTAATTTATGCTTCTGATAAGAAGTCAGTGTTGTTTATAGGAAACATAATGAGCTTTTATCCTACAGAATAAACCAAGTTTAACTGCAGTAAAAGCTTTTTCATATATTCTAAGCATCAGGATTATTAGTAACTGTGCTCCCATTAATATGCTTTCTCTCTTTTGGATGCTACAGCTTACTAAACTTTACTAACAGCTTTGGTTTAATTCCTCAAGTCAACTTATAGAACATGAGAGGCTTTGAATCAGACTATAAAAATTTCAAAGCTGCAAGGTAAAGTATTAGCCACAGGAAAAATTAATAAGAGATCATCAGATGTGCCTGGTAAACCCTAGGATTTGTAAAGAATTAAACAAGAGATGCAGGAAGAAAAATATTAAAATTAAAATCACCTCCAGAAAATAATTAAGTGGTAGAAATCATTTCTGGCGTTTATATAAGCTGACAAACTGACATTCGCATAAATAAAAATTAATCACTATGTTACCCTATCATAGCTCCTTGTGAAGACACTGGCCTGACCACTGACATTTATGGGGAAAGGGGAAGGAGGGAAAGATCATTTTCACCAAATTATCTGACTCCATATCAGAGGTCAGGAACAAACAACACTGAAGGAAACAGAAAAATTAAAAGTAATTGTAAAAATTATTTGTGCAATATCCATAGTAATTCTCAAATATAAGTAGCCAGATATATGCTGTTTAAGCATTCACCTTTATGCTTTTATATATATGTGTGTGTTTGTATGTTACAATCAAGATGGTAATGTACAAGTCAACTCTTCAGTCTCTATACTGCCTTAAAACACAATACCATCCTCAATCCTATGCAGAGAGATCAGTTACATTTTGTCAATAGACATTCACACCAATAAAGCAAAGAGGAAAGTGAAGCACGGAGACATTTAATCAATACAAATAAAATT